GGATTCGGATTTTTCGGATTCGGATCAAATCGGATTTTGCCCAAATCCGATCCGATCCGATCCGTGCGGAACACTAAATGAAGATCATCATGAAATATTTTTAATTTGTTAACATTTAAATTTAAAAGTTCTGTCTTTAACTTTGAATCTTTTAAACGTTATACCAAAAACTGACCACCTTTTTATAATAACTCATGAGCTAATTCTTCAAACTATTTGCTATATACTAAACTGGTATCTGAAAATTAAGCACCTTCTTCAATGAGATGAATAATTTCCATCCAGTTTACGAGAGCATGTTTGTGATATAGTTTTTTAGCTATTTGTTCAAAAACAAATTTTAAAACTTTATTTTTAAAATCTGGTTTTGAATGAATATGGATTATTTTGTTATTAAAATTATCATGTTGTAATCCTCTTCCATTTAATGTTTTGATAAGAGATTTTATGTTACATTTAAAAGTCAATTCCTCAATATTTAGTTCATCATTACTTTTATTTAAAATTAATCGTGATATTGAATCCCACTTGTTCATCAATTCCTGAACATGATCAGCTATTATTATATTTTTCCATTGCTTTTTCCATAGTATCCATATCTCATCAGATATCCAAATTGGTGCATAAAAAAGAGAAACACCATCTTTTTTAATAAATTCATTCCATTGTAATAAACTAAAAAGTTATCTTATAGATCACATGATTTTTACCTTGTCACAAAATCCATCCAATCAGCTAAAATTGGCAGATCCTCAAATCTATCCAATCAACCAAAACTGGCAGATCTGCCAGATTGACCAAATTTGTCATATATGTAATATATGTCAAATATTACATTTCTTATTTTTATTTATATTTTTTATTATTATTATTTATTTTATAAATAGAGTAGCTTTAGAACTTTAATAACATAGAAACTTTTAAGCAGAGAATTTACTTAGTTTTATCGTTAACAAGATAATTACTAAAATACTTGTATGCAAATAAATACATTTATAATAATTCTTTTTTTTAATAAAATTCTAAATTACTTAACCCATAAATTATACTTTGTCTCTAACAATACATTTGATCGATAAACCTTCAGAAGCTCTCCATAAATCTCACATTGTAAAGTCTTAAAGCTAAATCCTTTATTAATCTTGTGTTAATACTAATTTTCAGTCGTTAGTATTATAAGATAACACCATCTCTCTTTTTTCAGAAATGAAAACAAAAGTGTGTATGCAGAAATATAACTAATAGGAGTTCTTAAATCAGTAAAATAGAAAGCATTTTCATCATCTATGGTTTGAAGGAAATCATCATTTTGCCTCTGTAGACCTCTTTCCATATGTAAATTTGGTAAAAATGAATATTAAATTTTGTTATATATTTCCTAGATAATTTTAGATTGAGGATAGAAAATATAATCTAAAAAATGTTTTACCTATACCAGGTGTACCAATTATCGCATAACCTGTTTTGATATTACTTTTAAGTTTCTTAATCATCTGTAAATATAATTTTCGTATCATAATCTTTGATATAACTAATAGAACAATACAAAATATAGTCTCTTGCAAACAAAGCATTCCTCTTCATTCGAATGGTAGCTCTTCCATTTCTCTATTGTCTTTTCCTTCTGTAGAATTTATAAAAGGGTATGATGATAAAAATTCATTTGTGTCTTTCATCACACAATCACTATTATTATAAATTAATTGGCCTTTTGAGTTTATCATTACGTTATTATTCAAAATGATATGATTATTTTAAAAGTCATAAATCGAAAAAATGGTTCCAAATTTAAATCATTTTCATTACAACTGGCTGGTAGGAAAAAGAAGATTTTTGTATTATGAATGTCATGTCAGAATTGAATTATTTTCTGAGGAGCTACAAAATAATATATTGTGAATAAAAACCAAAGGTAATGTTAGTTAATTATATCCTTTTGTACCAATTAAAATGAATTGTTGTAGTTTTTAAAAATCGTGATATTTACCTTTTTCTTTATCCTGATCTACAATAACGTGAATTTATTTTTGAATGATATTTGACAATAAAAAGCAGGAAAGAATATAACAAGTAAGTATTAGTTTGACGCAGTATAGACAAAAAAAAAGTTTTACACTCATTATATAACAATTTATAGTATACAATAATTTATGTTTCATTACCTTTCTCTTTATCAAATTTAATTAACTGTCTTTGTAGATATATTATCTGTTTTCCTAATCTTTTTTAGCCTTTATCAAATCTTCCTTTTCTTTCTTCAACTCAACTATTTAAGCTTTCTACCTTTCTTCTTGTTTAGAATTCCTCTAATCTTTTTCATCTAACTTCTCTATCAACCTGTCTAACTTCTCCTGTTTTTTCTTTCCTCAAATTTCTCCAATTTTTCTTCTACCTTCTTGAACCACTCCTCTTAACTTTTGCCAGTTCGATTTTTTCAAAAGTCATTTTTTGAAATGTAAAAAAAAAAATGATTGATTAAAATGCTATATTGATTTGTATCAGATTGGTAGATAAACTATAAGCTAAACTATACTATATGAAAATAATTACAACTAATTATATTTCATTGTACAATAATTATACAAAATCAAAAAAGTATATAATGAAAATATGGTTGATTACAATTACTTTTATACAGTACAGTTCAGCTGATTGTATTGTACAGTTTATATGTATATCATTGAGTACTCATATCCTAGACCTCGGGTTTAGGATAATATCCTAGACTTTTTCTTCCCTTAAATATAATTGTTTTAAAAATGATTCACATCAGTCACATTATATTTTTATGTAATATTTATCTTAGAAAATATTTCATCTATTTTTGCATTTCGCACACTTTTAAAAATTAAAAAGAACAAAAAAATTTCTATATTTTTGCAGACTTTAAATATTAAAAAATAGAAAATATTCTTATTTTTATGCACTCTAAAACATTAAAGAATAAATAAAGATTTTTTAACAATAAATCATGAAATTACTTTAATATTTAATATAACAATTGTAAAAATAAAAATACAAAGCTTTATTAAAATAAAAATTTATTTGAATTTTATATGCTAAACAAAAATCAATATTAGAATTAATAATTATATTTTATTATTAAATGCTATATTTACAGTAAAAAAACACGTTTTGTATTATCACAAAAAAATCAATAACTTCACAACCATTCAAGATAAACTATTATACAAGTATTTTCATTGCTAAACAACTTTACTTAGACTTCTTTATTTGTTTTCTTTGACCAAAATAGGGTAAGTACTGGAAAAATAAACTAAATCTATTTTTTTAAAAGAAAAGTTCCTAAGTAAAATAAATGTAGATTTGGTCATTTGATTCAGATCATATGTTATTTCAAAAAAATTTTTTTGTTGATTTGGTCCTTTTCTTAGCACTTATCCTAAATGTTCAAATTACATCTTGAAAATAATAAATAAAACATGTTTTAATAATATTACAAAAAAATCAATAACTTTACAACTATTAAAGCTAAACTCGCGAAAATTAATATGAAAATAGTTCTATACCTGCTGAACAACTTTACTTATCTGAAAGTAAAAATTAAAACACGTTTTAATATTATTACAAAAAAAATCATAATTTCACAACCTTTTAAATTAGACTTGCAAATATTAATCTGCAAATATTTTCATATCCGTTAAATAACTTTACTTATACATGTTTTACTTATTTAGTTTGACCAAAATGCTGAACTTACATTGTGAAATTCTATACAATATGAAAAATGTGTTTGTTATAAAATTACTTATAAAAATAACACAATTTTATAATGATATTCTATCTACACTTGAAGTCTTGAACTGCTGTTAAAGTTTTATATTAATTAAAAAAACTTTTATTATATATTTTTAAAAGTTTTTTTAATTAATAAACTTTAACAACAGTTCTGGACTTCAGATATAAAATATTATTATAAAATTGTGTCATTTTCATAAGTAATTTTATAATAAACACATTTTTCATATTGTATAGAAATTTCATAATGTAAGTTCAGCATTTTGGTCAAACTAAATAAGCAAAACATGCATAAGTAAAATTATTCAGCAGGTATAGAGATATTTGCAGATTAATATTTGCAGGTCTAACTTAGAAGATTGTGAAGTTATGATTTATTTTTATAATAATATTAAAAAACATTTTAATTTTACTTTCAGGTGTAATTTTAATACTTTGGTTAAAGAAAACAAGCAAAGGGATCTTAAGTAAAGTTGTTCAGCAGGTATGGAACTATTTTTATATTAATATTTACGAGTTTAACTTTAATAGTTGTGGAGTTATTGATTTTTTTATAATATTATTAAAACACGTTTTATTTTTTATTTTTAAAACGTAATTTGAACATTTTAGTCAAAGTAAACAAATAAAAGAAGCCTAAGTAAAGTTGTTTAGTAGTATGAAAATACTTGCACAATAATTTTTGTGAGTTCATCTTGAATAGTTGTGGAGAAATTATTTTTTTATGATAATATCAAAGCATGTTTTTTTTTACTATTAATATAGCATTTAATAATAAAATATAATTATTAATTCTAACATTGATTTTTTTTAGCATATAAAATTCAAATAAATTTTTATTTTAATAAAGCTTTGTATTTCTAAAGTTAAACAGTTACTTTTTACAATTGTTATATTAAAATATTAAAGTAATTTCATTATGATTTATTGTTAAAAAATTTTGTTTTATTCTTTAATGTTTTATAGTACAGAATATTTTCTATTTTTTAATATTTAAAAGTTCATGAAAATATAGAAATTTTTTTGTTCTTTTTAATTTTTAAAAGTGTACAAAATGTAAAAATAAACCTAAGATAAATGTTACATGAAAATATAATGTGACTAGGAATGGTAAAATAATGGTTATTTATGATTTGGTTAATTAATCGTTAATTAACATATATATATTTTTTTATAAAATTTTGAAAAAAAAATTTTATTGAATATATTTATATTTATTCTTCATCTAAATTTAATACATTATATTCAAACCTATGATTACTTTTATCAGAATCACTTACATTATTATTTTCTTTACTTTCATTATTATCACTAATTACTAATGCTAAATTTTTTTTTTTGTACTTTTTAAAGGTCCTTTATAAATCTGAAGATTTCCATAAATATAAACTAATTTTTTAACACATATATTTTATAATCTATTATGAATTTTATTATGAATGAAATCAAATATAGAAAATTTTCTTTCTGCAACTGCAGATGATATAGAAATTGAAAGAATTTTAATAGCTAATTGTTGAAGTAGACTAGTTTGCCATAATTGTCACTATATAGATAAATTAAGAAAATTAGCAGATTTCCAAATAATTTCATTAATTTCATTATCATAAGAAGAGTGTTTATTATGAAGATTAACCAATTCAATAAATAAATTTACAAATTCTTCTTCATTAAATTTTTCACTTGTATATTTTGTAAATTCTGCATAACCTGTAGATCTAATTCCATTATTACTTTCTTCTAAAAATTGTGGATCTAACATATAAGCCACAAACATAGCTGAATGATATATATATTTCTATTGCTTTATAACAAGTTCTTTGAGTTTATCAGAAAATTCACAATATATTTGATTCATTTGATTCATTAATTTTTTAAAATTTGAATAAACTGTTGATAAAGTTAAAGTATCTGATTCAAATAACTTTAATATTACAATAATTGGTTCCATAATTTTTATTGTTATATTTAATTCTTTCCAAAATCTATCTGATAATATATAATTTTTTAAAGTAAAATCCATTTTTTCATGAATAATTAAATTCATTAATGCTTGTTCAAGTGCTTTTTTGATTTTTGAAGTAATTAAATGTAAGCAAGATGTGTATTCTATCATGTAAGTGTTGGTAAAACTAATGCAATTTCTTTATTATAATTTTCTCTTTGAATATGTTTTAATTTGGTTGCTACTTGTATATATGTCTTAAAATAATTAACCAATTTTTTTGCATTTTCAATAACAAATTTGATTTGATCAAATTTTAAAATACTAATTAAAAGATTAATTACATGAGAATTACATCCAAGACAAATAATATTTGGATGATTTTCTTCAATAATTTGCCAAGTTGCTTTCATTATATTTGTAATATCTGTAATTACTGCTAAAAATTTATTAATATAAATAATATTCATTTGTTGTATAATTTGATTTACAATCCATTCAGCTGTATGACTTTCTTCACTAGAATAAATTGCATCAAAAAATAATGGTTTTGAAGTACAAATAATAAAATTTTGAACTAATTCTCTATTTATATTAAACCAACTATCTGAAATCATTGTAAGTGATTT